ATTAACTATTAATTCGAAATTAGTTAATTTTTAATCCATATAATACAGTATTTCTTGTACATTCTATTCAGAAGTACCTCGATAATTATTATTTCTGAAAAACCTTTTATCTTGTGCTTTTATCTGCATAACTGATTCTGAAAAATTCAAAAGAAAGCGTATGGACTCGTAATGCTCATGAATTTATGAATATTGCCTAAGGGTCTGTATGCAATCTGTACTGTTTAGTGTTTAGTAGGGTGCACCTTTCCAAGATACATGGCAGTAGTATCGGGATGTCAAGCCAGCCAACGGAGCAGAGGCTTATTTCCTTGCAACCCTTAGTGTCCAGTCGATGAAGCATACAAATACTTCAGAGAAGGCGTCATTTCCTCAGTGACAAACGATGTTGTGATGAGGAGGAGGATAGCAAAACTACGACAGGTTGCGGAAAATTACTTAGCTAGTAGAGTGCAATAAAACCGGCTAAAGAAAAAAAAGTACTTGTGACACCCTGCTGCACGATCGAATAGAACTCGTCGCATTCTCATTCGTATAGTCAACCGAAGCAACAGACGGTAAAAGGAAATTTGGCTCGAGAGAAAAATCAACAACATCTATAAGGCAGTTAGAAAGGTTAAGGTTTGAACGATGTTCAAAGGATTGCGACAGTTTTCTGACAAGCGCGGGTCCTTATCCAAAACGCTAATGGTGTCTTGCTGTCATGGCAGAAAGAACGCCTCAACAGATGCTCAACAGCTGTCCTCCAGACTGGACATCTCTCACCGTTAATTGTCTGCCAACACTGGAGATTAGTTCAGACCCATGGACAAAACTAGAAATCATAGAGGATTTGCTATTTGATTTATTCGGGTGTACGGACAGATGATCGTTCGTTTTAGTAGAAAGAGTAAAGGTCGATAATTATCAGTCGATTGTAATAGTTTAGAAGGCGAGTCTGAAATATGAGAGTCACTTCCAGCTCTGCTATGATTAAAACGAGGGGGGGTCATTCACGTTTTTCAAGAAGGTGCTGTATGCAATAACCGTGAATGTGAGAATCGTACCGTTATGAAGTTATGATGTGGTGTATGTGAAGGTACTCGAGTCGTTGGAGCTGAAAAATTGTGCGAGAATTCCAGAATATCGTTTTAAAAATGGACTCTTTTCAATTTAAGCATGTCACGGCTCTATCGTATCTTGGCCCCTACGGTGCATGTGATCAAAACAGCACGACGGTGTTGGGTTGAGCGTATGGAGTGATGCTGTTTTGCACCCATGCACTGATGGTTCTAAAATAC